TGACTGCTAACACAAACAGTTCCACGCACTCTCATTAAAGACATATGTTAATGCAATAGACATCGACCCGCTTTTGTTAGACACACACCGAGTGTAATCGATTTCACCCACGAGATATAGTATAGACATGTTGTGTGCAAACATTCAACACTAACGCATAAGAAATCTCTAGCATGTCACAAGATCCCAACTTGAACTCCAGATCGATAATCGATCATTGTGAGAAGGAATCAATCAATGTACATCTTTCTCTTTATGCATGCTTAACGGTAGTAGCTGACGAGAGTGAAGGCAAGATGGCACGACTGGCTGGTCTGATTGAACAACTCGTCTAGACGGGCTGCTTGAGCTGATGGGTGTCGGGGGGTGTTGTTGCGTCAACACGGATTGACGTGGGGGGAGGGACGGGGGTTGCGTCAACATGGCTGTATGAGGGTTCGAGTCGATAACGCTTGTTGTTAAGTGTAATTGAGGATGTTACGTGTCTGTCGGACAACAAATGAGGCATTAATAAAACGCATGGAGACACTCCAAATTTGAAATTAACATTTTATTGATAAACACTTATAATTGTACAATACAGAGAAGGAATAATCAAAATCATTGGGAATGTTATAATAGGGCAAACATTCTGTGAAGACACTTATGTCCTGTACGACAGGGAACGTTTTATCACTCCAGTGAACTCAAAATGATCTTAAACAATGATATTTTTTAAATTTTTATTTTATTTTTATAGACGTTTTTCTCTGCATAATAAAGGTACAAACACACCAAGAAAAAGTGCACGATGGATTAAAAACGAAAGAATTCAAGTTCATGTGTTTGACAAGTGAAATGTCGGTGCTTCACACGTGTAAAGCAAGTTTGTGTAAGCACTTCAGAGAATGACCACACGCAGTAGACAGTGACTCGTCCGACTTAAACCTTAATCCCTTGTGCGTTCAATGACACTGGCGAATGGGTGCAAAACACGAATATAACACTTTCCTCGCTGACATCTCCTCTCGTCATCGATTACCTCATCAGAGCAATATCGGAAACCAATCGGAGGCGGTAATGGCTGATGTTGTAGATAACACCGCCCGAGACAGACGGACAGGGATCAATCACGTGATGTCATCACAAGCGTGCACCTACACTGAAGAAACATGACGCATAGCACATACATGGCGTGTAGTTATTACTTGTGTGGCGTGTATGACAGGCAACGGTCGTGTGTTCTTTCCAGCCATGCCACCAGTCACCTTCAGAACAACCACTTAGGGGTGTGTTACCATACAACACCAGGTAGGTGTGTTGTAGATGGCAACCACTGACACGTGTTGTAAATGGCAATCAATGACACGTGTGTTGTATATGGCAATCAATGACACGTGTGTTGTATATGGCATTCAATGATACGTGTGTTGTATATTGCAACCACTGACACGTGTGTTGTAGATGGCAACCATTGACACGTGTGTTGTATATCGCAATCAATGACACGTTTGTTGTATATTGCAACCACTGACACGTGTGTTGTATATGGCAATCAATGATACGTGTATGGTATATGGCAATCAATGACACGTGTGTTGTATATTGCAACCACTGACACGTGTGCATGTTGTATGTGGCAACCATAGACCCGTGTGTCGTATATTGCAACCACTGACACGTGTGTTGTATACGGCAACCATGGACACGTGTGTTGTATACGGCAACCATAGACACGTGTCGTATATTGCAACCATAGACACATGTGTTGTATGCGGTAACCATTGTCACGTGTGTTGTATATGGCAACCACGGACACGTGTGATGTATACGGCAACCATAGACACGTGTGTCGTAGATGGCAACAATTGACACGTGTGTTGTATACGGCAAAAATAAACACGTGTGTTGAATATGGCAACCATTGACACTTGTGTTTTATACGGCAACCATAGACACGTGTGTTGTATATGGCAACCCCAGACACGTGTGTTGTATATCACAACACTACACATGTGTGTACTCGTGAGGATTCCAGGTAAGAATATTGGTTCCCAGCAACCTATGTTTGTCACATAAACAACACAAAGAGACATGAATGTTTATGTCATAAAAACAACTCAAGAGATCATGTCACATTGCCTAGAATCACGAATGAATATGTCACATATACAACACTAGAATATCATGAATGTATGTCACATTAACACTAGAATGAGGAATGTATTTCACATAAACACTAGAATGAGGAATGTATGTCACATAAACACTAGAATCATGAATGTGTCACATAAACACTAGAATCATGAATTATGTCACATAAACACTAGAATCATAATGTATATGTCACATAAACACTAGAATCATGGTTGGTCGGTTGGTTTGTTGTTTAACGCCGCACTCAGCAATATTCCAGCTATATGACGGCGACTAGAATCATGAATATGTCACATAAACAACACTAGAATCATGAATGTCACATAAACACTAGAATCATGAATTTATGTCACATAAACACTGGAATCATGAATTTATGTCACATAAACACTAGAATCATAAATGTATATGTCACATAACACAAGAATCATGAATGTGTCACATAAACAACACTAGAATCATGAATGTATGTCACAAAAACAACACTAGTCACGTTTGTTTGCGTCATATAATAACACTGAAGAACACCACTTGCACATTGACATATGTCATTAACAAGACATCCCCACGCTACAGCCGTCATCACCTCATCTCCGTGTAAACAACACGACATATTGTTACATACACTGGAGTACCCTCAGCCCTGAAAGACGAATCTACACACAGGCGCTTACTATATTACACGCAGTGTTTACCACATCCGAGTCAGGATACTCGCAGAACCCGACCATAAAAAAGAAGGAATCAAACACGAGAGAAAGGCGACTCTGGCGTATGTTACAACTGAAAACCAACGTATCGAGATTACACAAATGATTTACTTAAATTACCAACATAACGTCTAAAGAGAAAACGAAAAAGATATTCATGGCCACAAGAGTCATATTTACGACATTTGGGTATATTTCTTGATGGCGATGAGGATGATTATGAAAGTGATGATGATTATGAAAGCGATGATGCATCACTGATTGGTACTCTGACGCTGGTCATCGCCAAGCAATATCATTCCCTTTGAACAGTCGATATGACCTATATAGTTATTCGTGGATGGTGTTCACCCTTTTACTGTTAACTTTACAGTGAACGAGCCCGTGTATGCATGCAAGTACCGTTAGCACCTTCCTGAATGAACTCATCTGAGCAACATCATTGAATGAAAGGTCAATATCGCCCGCATGGATACTTCCCCATGTGCTACACATCACTGCCAGTCAACCAGATACTCATATTCCAACCAACAAGCACACGTGCGTGTGTGTATGTGTTAGGACGTCGTGACGAGTATAACAGTTTCTCTCTGCGCGGATGGTGTGATATAGTGTTGTTGTCATGGGCAACAATTCGCTGTTGACCTTTCAAACTATGACACCCCACCTGAGACATGTGCCTTCCTCTTCATAAATCAATGTCCATCAGACTTCACAAACCGTCTGCTTGACCTTATTGACCACTCCTCCTCGGATACGGTCCACGCCGTGTACACACGTCCAGTAAAGGCCATTTCAGTTATTCGCGAAGAAGTTACCATGTTTGATGTTTGTTGTTTAACGCCGCACTCAGCAATAGTCCAGCCATATGAAGGCGGTCTGTACATAATCGAGTCTGGACCAGACAATCCAGTGATTGACATTATGAGCATCGATCCACGCACTTGGGATACGATGATATGCATCAAGCCAAGTCAGCGAATCTGACCACTCGATCCCGTTAGTCGCCTCTTACGACCAGCATTGTGACCTTTTAGGGCAAGCATGGGTTGCTGAAGACCTATTCTACCCCGGATGTTCACGGGTCTGTTTGATGTAATTACTGAGTTACATACTCAACATCATAGACGTGTGTTCGTAACAGAAGAAAGCCATGCTTGACCGTCCAGTACACTGGTCAGTAATTCGTGAAGTGACCATATTAAATGTAATTATTGAGTTGCATACTTAACATTATAAACATGTGTTCGTAATAGGAGAACGTCACGCTTGACCGTCCAGTACATTGGTCAGTTATTTGTGAACAAGTCACCATGTTTAATGTAATTATTGAGTACATGCTCAAAATCACGAAACAGACAAACGATTTACATGACCGTGCTCCAAGCAACAGCGATTAAAATCGTTGAAACATTTTATTTTAATTAAACCCATCTGCACGAGGAACGCTAACTACCTTTGCACTAACACTACATCAATCAACAGCAGCAAGTCATCAACAACACCGTCGTTCTCTATCAAGGTTAATACTGCTATTCAATAACGATCAATAAGTTGCTTGCCAGTTGCATATTTTCATGAATGTAACCTGCCTCGCATGAACGTATATCATTCGCTGACACCACTTGAGAACTACTCTGGCCGAATAAACGCGAAAAACACCAGCTATTAGTAATTGTATTGTTTTAAACAGGCAATCGAACAAGGCAATCATATTGATAACTATTGGTGACTGATACCGTTGCAGAACAATGGTATCAGATATGAATGTGTTCAATCCTATTTTGGCATGCAGCAACGCATTATTTATTAATTACTGCGATAGGTCAAAAACGTATCAGGAACTCCACCCATGTCACAGCACTAGTATTTGGTCCACTTGACTCATATTTGATTCCACTACTTCCGCTACAAGCCTACGGCCACCCCACATCCTGCTATTGGAGAGAAGCAATTACCCCACCCCTGTCCCCATACAGCGCAGTCTGCAGCAAAAACTTCAATGAGGCTCCCGCATTTCATAATGTAAACACATCGGTTGTATCACATGATATATGTGCTGGAGTGTTTGGTTATAACAATAACACTCTCGGTTCAAAGAGTCAGCGTGCGGATACAAGCAACGGTGAGTGTTAAGTACTAGAAACCACTTACTGGGTGCCTATTTGGGTACATCTTGGAGGTAAATCCTGCCCGCGATGAGAGGGCGCCTGACCGCTGTGAATATCCCTCGATCTGGACCGGGTAATTTCCGTATCAAAAAGCCACTATCCAAGTCTGCCTTGCTTGAACCGCCAAGTGGCGTTTTTCAGACCTCTCTCGAGACGACAAGCTATATTCCACTTGCGTAAACAGCGAGCAAAACCAGGCCAAAGGTCATGATATCATCACCCGCATTGCAACATTATCGGTCACTCTCAGCTGCTTATACACATCGCCGAATCGGGTAGTCTGGCCACCCTGTACAAATCAACGGTGGTACATCCAAAGCTCTCCTCGTCGTCTCAGTGCCAGAATGCTTGTTTACGGTGCACAATACCTCTGCAATATCGAGCACTGCGATAGAAAATGCCGTGTGAACAGGCTGTTAAGATACCACACACATGAAGGTAATCCGCCACAGCGCATTAGCCCCAAGTTACAATGCCAGTCAGCAAATAGAACTCTCCATATAAGGGGACGAATGATTGGCCCTATCAACAAACACTGCCATCTTCCCCCACGACCCACGTGAGCTCATTACATATGCGTGTAGTTCCCACACATTCAGCCAGTGGTGTGATAAGGGCGGGGCTTGTTGTGGAAGTTGTGAATAATCAAACATAATGTGTGAATATATTACTGTCACTCAAAGTAACGTGACTGGTTCGGTTCTCGCTTGAATCGATATGCTTTAGGGGATATTTTTGCAAGTATTAGACAACTTGTCATAATTTGATTCCGTTTGCAACGGTGAACTTGTTTAGATTTTTACTTTGACAATGCTTTAAGAATGGTGTTTACCTTCCAGGTCTCGTTTAGGTTTTGGAAAAAAATACTTGAACGGTCTCGTTGTGTATTCAGTATCTTGAGCAATACGACCATACTTTTTCCAAAAACTACGTATTTGAAACAAGCAACGTACCTAATATTAATTCTGAATAGTTTCTAGAGCCCGTTTCTTTGAGCCAGTTTCTACTGTTTACATTCTGTTCCTCGACGCTCGCTGTTGTAAAACAACAATCTGATTGGCTGGTTCCGTGTCTACTCCACGTGATTTTGAGATGTACTTGACAGCTAGAGACCCCGCCCTCTCACCGAAAAACCGGGTTATACGAAAAGTGTGCTCGGATCAGCAGTGGAAATCGGATTAAATTTGCTGATAACTCAAAATCGGTTTGAAAGCAGGCCCCTTCTAGTGACACACACCCTCCGCCGTGACCTAGAAGAACTGGCTATCTTAAAGGCACATTGACGAATATGCCAAATATAACCGGCTCCTCGGTTGAACTTGCGACCTGATCCCCTCTTGGGATGGAATTGGAGATTCGAGACAACGTTTTGAAAAAAACCCAAACAGTAATTGTATTTTCAATTGCACATTGGAACACTAATAGCGAACTAATTTGCACGTAATTAAGTCCATGACTTAAGAAAATAATGATTATATTTACTTGTTTTTATACAAACATGCGTAATATGATCATAAGAAAGGATTGATATTTCTTAACAATCATTTGCATTTAAATATCTTGTTAAACGTATTATTGCTAAGGTAATAATTGGTAAGACGCGTTGCAGTGACCTCTTTCGAAATATACTTCTAAATACTTTAAAGTTTGAACCAACTTGTATTGTATGTTTTTAAAAAAAAGGCCATTTCGTTTAAGGTGAAATAATTCTTTTCATGGGGCTGGTGATAAGCAAAACACTGTACGGCGGCAGGGGAACGGCTCTTGATTGGCTCTAAGGGATTCCGCTACAGTCAGGTTGCTTTGGGATTGTAGATCTGAAAACATCGATTCCATTTTCACATTTTTAGTATCCTCCGCGGTCATAATGCTGAATTGTCGCTAATATTGGCGTTGAAAAACTCACCCACCACTCACTTACCCCACCCTCCCACTCACTCACTCCACCCACCCACTCACTCATGCATTGTCATGCAGGATAACTGACAGAACCAATATAATAGCTGTATTTGGTATTGCGAGGTTCATAAAGGTATACAATTATTATGCCCCGGACGCACGAGGATGGTAAAGGATGGAATAACGTAACCTTTCCACACAGAGATTTTTTTTATATCAATCTCACAAACTCTGCCTTTATCATTCTAATTCGTGTTATTGACAATATTCATTTACATCAAATATCATTTATATTACAGATGCCTCTTCAAGTGGAATGTAAAGCTTATCCTAAATGAACAAACAGAAGCCCGAAGTTCACAATACTTCATTTATTATACCACTTTGTACAACACCATATATAGATTTCCGACCGACGTCACAGTCTGTTCTGAATACTTGTTCATTTAGAAAACACGAATTCAGATTGTTACCTCATATATCACTCGAGACCCGTCAATGATTCTTTGTTCGTTCTTTGTTGCATCATTCCTACTTTTATATCAGCTCAATACCTTATCAGCGAAGGGCGTCTGTTACAACAAGTCTTGTGAATAAAACTGTCTTTTCCAAATGGATAACCATCAATTTCTGACATGATCGCAAAGAAGTATAAAAACCAGGTCGATTCCCATCAGCCTCCGAACAATGATTTTGCGTCCTGTCTGCTTTTTGAAGGCACAATACAATATCGAGGTATTTCTATGATCCGAAATCGACAGCTCAGACACGCGTATTTGATTTCAGAATTCTTGTTTACCATCGACCAAGTCTCAATAGTCAGTCGGCGAAACAGCACGCGCCACCACGAGCTTCTAATTGCAACATTTACATTGGATATCGATTTCAAACACACATAATATAACATATCGCTTCGGCGACCTGTTCGTCGCTGTTTGCTCAATTTTCAAAACAGCTTTCCAAATATTAGCTTTTCCGCGAAATGCATATAGCCTGTCATTTCAGATTTGTCTTGGTCCAATAAGCCGACCAAAGGGAACTCGTAAGATAATTTAAATCGTGGCTTTTTGTTCTCAACTAGCTGACCCGGTGCATATAGAGAGTCGCGTTGAGCACCCATATAGTGTGGATAGTTGTGATTCGATATGTGTATGTAGGCAGCAGTTGGCTGGGAAATTGATTAAATCTTTATGTCTATGTGACATCACATCTCGACGCTTTAGCTGAATTAATCACAGCGTTTGCTAGCTGTAATTGTGTCCCTTCACCGGAATTGATCAAGCTAATGGTCAAATCTGGCTAGCTCTTAATTAATCTTGCTGGTCAATAATAACTGACCATACACGAACAGCGTTCACTCTTTGAGGGACAGATATAGGTCATTAATAGTCCCATCAAATCTCACGATGACAGGCTTGTTAGTTTTGCTCATGAAACTCCAGTAATTCATTTGCAGAAAAAATAAAACCATAGAATCAGCCTGGGAGCAGGATGTGCGTATAAATGGAAATGAAAACATTTTTACGGGATAAACATCAATTCTCACAGTCAGCTGTAATGGACCGTCGAGACATAAAATAACACCACTTTACGTCCATAAAAGATGTGAAGTTTCATGTCTACCGCCTGCTGAACGTACAATCTCCGAGTATCTGTACATCTGAATTAAAGTTAGGTGAAATTTAAAAAAAACAACACACGTGTAGAAATTTAGCATAAAATGAAAGTTCCACTGCATTGATTTAAACTTGATATGTTTGCCGCATTCCCTGGGGCATTTAAACACGAAGCAATCTCTTTAATGGGTCTAGCAAATCTCCCCCTTCCCGCAAAGTTACCATACATCACTGTCTGGCCGGGATTGGTGTAAATTCTTGTGAACGTTTCAAAAAATCGTTTTACGTTTTCCCTCACAGTGCCACGTGTGACTTATTATCATGTTTTTTCATCATTGCATCTACAATATATTCGATGGTATCATTTGAAGTTTTTTAAACAACTTCAAAAATAAAGTTCATGTCTTCTTTATTGTTCTCTTATACGAGAAGCAATCTGCTTTAAACTTTTAATTCTATTCCATAATAAACTGAGCGATGGAAAGGGCTAAAAAATACACCGAAAATGTAGTGAACGGCTACATAATGAACCGGACGCGATGGGAACGTCTAAATAATGAACCGGATGCGATGGGAACGTCTAAATAATGAACCGGACGCGATGGGAACGTCTAAATAATGAACCGGACGCGATGGGAACGTCTAAATAATGAACAGAGCGTGATGGGAACGTCTAAATAATGAACCGGACGCGATGGGAACGTCTAAATAATGAACCGGACGCGATGGGAACGTCTAAATAATGAACCGGACGTGATGGGAACGTCTAAATAATGAACAGAGCGTGATGGGAACGTCTAAATAATGAACAGAGCGTGATGGGAACGTCTAAATAATGAACAGAGCGTGATGGGAACGTCTAAATAATGAACCGGACGCGATGGGAACGTCTAAATAATGAACCGGACGTGATGGGAACGTCTAAATAATGAACAGAGCGTGATGGGAACGTCTAAATAATGAACCGGACGTGATGGGAACGTCTAATTAATGAACAGAGCGTGATGGGAACGTCTAAATAATGAACAGAGCGTGATGGGAACGTCTAAATAATGAACCGAACGTGATGGGAACGTCTAAATAATGAACCGAACGTGATGGGAACGTCTCAATAATAAACCGAACGTGATGGGAACGTCTAAATAATAAACAGAGCGTGATGGGAACGTCTAAATAATAAACAGAGCGTGATGGGAACGTCTAAATAATAAACCGAACGTGATGGGTACGTTCACAAAATGAACCGGACGCAATGGGAACGTCCTAATAATGAACCGAACGCGATGGGAACGTCTAAATAATGAACCGGACGCAATGGGAACGTCCTAATAATGAACCGAACGCGATGGGAACGTCTAAATAATGAACAGAGCGTGATGGGAACGTCTAAATAACGAACAGAGCGTGATGGGTACGTCTCAATAATAAACCGAACGTGATGGGAACGTCTAAATAATAAATAGAGCGTGATGGGAACGTCTAAATAATAAACCGAACGTGATGGGTACGTTCACAAAATGAACCGGATGCAAAGGGAACGTCTCAATAATGAACCGAACGCGATGGGAACGTCTAAATAATGAACCGGACGTGATGGGAACGTCTAAATGATTAACCGAACGTTACGGGAGCGGCTAGGGAAAAAGAGATCTGGATAGCATGTATTTTGAACAAAAGTTCCAGATAGTTCAGATACAGTGGCGCTCAATCAGTGAAGCATGTAAAGGCTAATGTCAGTAGTTTAAAATCTATTCCAGCTTTAAGAGGCAACCAATGCAGCGACATCAGTGAAGGAGTTATGGGTGTCCATTTTGAAGTTCTCGTAACCATATGTGCAGCTGTATTTTGTATGCTCTGAAGCCTCTTGAGCAGTTTATCTGTGATATTACCCATCAGACTATTACAATAGTCAAACCTTGACAGGACTAAACATCTGGCCATGAGACGTGCAGCATCG